GGAGGGCAATATGTTGCTACATATGTCAAAGAAGTTACACTTCATGAGCCAATTAAAATATAATGCAGCCATAAAATCTAATTTCAACAAAAATGCCATTAAATAAATTAGATTGCTGCTATATACAATTTTCTATTTTTTAAGTACAACTTAAGTCACCACATTTAATATCAAGTATCAAAATATCTTTGTCCAGGATTTTTAACTATAATTTTATACCTACCCACCCAACAAGCAAGCCCTTGAAGACAAGAAATTTATAAAGTTTAATTTAAATCGCTGGGAGTCTAAAATATGAAATTCATTTTCTATAATTGAAGAGCTTTAATATGCAGACACGCACACACTTGTCAAAAATCTGCCAAGGAGAGAAAATTTATCAGAAATTCTTTCAGCCAAGATATTCTTTAATGTTTAAAGAAAAAAAAGAAAGGAAAGGAAAAAAATTAAGGAAAGAGAAAGAAAGAGAAAAGGTCAATCACTTTAATTGCTGACTTAAGCTCTGATGTAAAAGAGATGTTGAGAATAATCATTACATGACAATACATGAAACAGAAGAGGGAGAAGTCTAAGGTATTATTAGTGTGTTGTTTTGTTTTTGTTTTTTTTTTGGTTATTTTATTAATTCCTTTTGTTCTCCACAATCTTGATTAAAAATAAGTTCTTTTATTGTAAGTTGAAAAAGAAAGATAATGAAACAAAGAAATGATCTTTTCATTAACAATTGAATAAAAGAAAATAAACATTTACCTGATCTTACATTTCAGATACATCTTTTATACATCTTCAACAATATTAAATGTTATAGTCTTAGAAAATATACCAAAACACAGAAAAATTGATATAATAGCAAAAATTTTAAGTCTTTGTAACAGCCACAATACAGACTATTATTATAGCAGAGAAACTAGTGATGAAACAAGAAATACAAAATGTTTCACATGGAGACAAGGTTTGTCTCCGTTCAGAAAGTTCCTCTAAATAAAAAATAAAAAATAAGATAAGTTTTTCCACTTATAAATTTTTTTTGTAGCTTTTAAATTTCATAAAAGACAGATTTATAAAAAATTTAAAAAGTTTCGAATGAATGTATCTAAAGTATAAATCAGAAAATAGTTTCATTAACACTGAACCAGTATGATCAATGTCTTATATGCATAGACAGAAGGGAAAGAAATAAAAACAATGGACACTTGAAAAAGTACAGATGGACTACTTTTTAATAAGTTTTAGTTGGAACAATAGAAAATTTATTTTCCCTATAATTACCTCATGAAATTATGTTCACATCATTTTGTGTGTGTATATATATATATATATATATATATATATATATATATATATATATATATATAATTAAATTCTGATTATTTATGAATGCCTAAAATAAAATGTTAAAAAAAAAAAAAAAAAAAAAAAAAAAAAAATGTAAAATATATTGTTGTAAGATTTACTTATTACAATATGATCAATTACATTGTAACAAAATTTTAACTTTTTGTCTTTAGTCAGTAAGTGTTAATACCTAATTTATTCTGTCTTGAAAGCAAAGGAAATGACTATTATTCCCTTCAAACTTTGCTCTTGTGACCTGGACATCAACATTTTGAAACTATTTTCCATTACATTCCAAACAGATTTAGCACAGAGTTGTTGAAGGAAAATTTTCAAGAACATTTTGACAACATAGATGGCAGTATAGATACAGGAAATGCAAGCTCAACAGTTTATTTCTAGCTGTCCAAGTGCAGACACGTCATCACTGAAAGATGCATTAGTCACAAATGATATCAAGAGGTAAGTATCTGGCAGATACATTTTGCTGTCTGTGGTGAATCAAGACAAGAATGAAAAGTAGTGTGGAAACATCTAAAATGTGTGCAGCCTACAAGGCATATTTCAGCATGCCTGTCAGGGATTAAGACAAATTCTGGTTACCTCATTTCACCTGCAAACTCTGCAAAAGAACTCTAGAAGTTAACATGGAAAGCTTGGCTTGTTTGGATATTCAAATTTTTAAGTGTAAAAATTTGAGGATTTTTTTTTTTTTTTTTTTAATTTTTACTTTTATTTTTATTAAAACCAGTGTTATTGAAAAATATATATTAAATATTTCAACAATCACACATTAGTATCCACAGTGATTATAAATGTTTTCTACGCTGGATCACTGGCAAATGTCATAAAAATATGGATTAGGGATTTTCAGTAGTTTAGATTACATATTTCTGTTGCATTTGCAACATTAATTGAGGTCCAAAGTCTATTTTAAATATCCAGCACACTATTTTTTACAAATTTCAGAAATCAAAACATGTAATTTTTTAGAATTGTTCAATAACACTATGTGAAATATGTTTGTATTTTTACATTCATATTTTTATTTTGCAGGATGGTAGAGGAGAAAATAGAGCCATGAAATTCACAATCCCATGAATTCAGAGGGAACCAACTGACCACTCAAGCAATTGCTTCTTCTGCATAGTGGAAACTTCCAAACACAGAGCAGGCAAGAATGTGCCTGCTATCATATATCCAGACTTTCTGTCATCCATTGCCCCAGTGCTGAGGTCCCTGTGCCCACTCCTCCAAAGAGAGAGCAGCTGTCTTCAGAAAATAATAATTCAGAAGAGGGACAAAGCCAATAATTCACATTAAAAAGGTGAAACTGAGGAGAGGAACCCATACTACTCCAACTAAAAAGACCTCAACGACCTGATCAGAGATCTTGGTCTACTCAAGTTCACTGATGAGCTTTTGATGTCAAAAGTCAAGCAGTGGAATTTGTGAGATGAAAACATCACAAGCGTTTTTATTTTTTTTTAAAGCTGATGCATGAAAGTAATTTATAGTATAAGCATAAATCATGAAAAACTACTCACTTCTAAATTTTTTCAGGCCTCTTTCTTGTGTAATCCTAGAATAAGTAAAAGCAGCTTTTGTATCAAATCATTTTGTTCCTACTTTCCACGAATGAGAAAGTTCACATTCACCTGTTTTCCCAATGGGAATACATAAATTTCAGAAATATAATCCTGTTCATAAAAGCAAAGTTTGGAGGAAATATTAGCAATTTTTCATACTTTTTAGACATAAGCAAATAAGAAATAACAGTTGCTACCCAAGGACAAAAAGCATGTTATAGATTACACAATGATAAAAGATGACATCTGATCTCTTGAGAAAAGAGTAGTGACCATGGCAAAAGAAAAAGAAACAAATTTACCAAAGTGTGGGAGAGAACAAAATGACATAATTCCTTTGTTCTGAGGGGAATATTATTTTATCCCTAATAAACATCAGTAATTCATACACCACCACCACCACCAAATGGTTTCTGGCTAACAAACTGAGATCCTATGGTTAACTTGAATCTAGAAAAATGTTTGAAAATTAAAATTCTTGGACAGTTTTGGCAGTTAATAAGAACTGGAAAAAAAAAACATCAAAATGAAACCAATCCACTTCAGTTGGTTCTCTGATTATTTACTTAACACACAATTAACTAAGAGACTAATGCAAATGATTCCTTCACTACAAACAAGACATGAAAATAGGGAAATATATCAATATTTATACACATATACATATAATATAAAAAAAAATTTCAGACTAGTCTTAATTTTATATACCAACATAGAAAATAGGAAAAAAAAGAAGAACCAGTAAAAGTTTTATCTACAATTAAAATAAAATACATATTTGCTCTTCTTTAAAATGCTATGGAAAAAAAAAAGTAATGTTCAGGCAAAGTAGAGAAATGCATAATCTTTTTAAAACTTTTATTTATTGAAATGCACATAGAACTATTAGAAACACCAAGTAAATTTTTTTTTTTTTCTGGACAAGGAGGGACTTTAGAAAATTACCTGATTCTCTTGCAGAAATAAGAACAAATAGAGTGTGTCTATGTGGGTGTGGTTTCGATGGTTACATATAGTTGAGACAGACTGACAGACAGGATTTGTCCAGCAGTTTGGATGCCATTAACTACTCCATCCAAGAAAATTACCAGTCGAAATAGTACCTTGGAGTGACATGTTTTGTTTTTCTTATACATTTTCATTCAATAAAATGATATTTGCATATATGGTAGGTTTTTCAACATTCATTTCTCTCATGCTCAAATAAAGATATTTGAAACAAATTTCAGTCATAATTCAGAACATCTTTCAAAAAGCAATAATTTCTTTAAAATCATAAAAATGATTTAGAAATGACCAGAAATATTTAATGATTTAAGAGATTCATGTTTAAAAAATAATAATAATAATAATATATATCTCAAGCAAAATTTTACAGATTAAACAATTTTAAAAAGCTAGAGAGAAAAAAAAATGGTCAAACATCAGCACTAGTAATTCTCCCCCAAACCCATTAAATACAATTAATCACCAACCAGAGATGGAGGGAAATAAAAAAAAAAAAATAAAAATAAAAAAGCCAACGATTAATAATCTCGCTGGTTACTCGTTGATGTCTGGTCATCTAATGGCAATCATCAGACAACTGGATAAAGGGTTACAAACTGGCTGGACATTTTTGGCCTCTGCTGGTCAATTAATGCAGTTGGTTGTCAGAAGAAAAAGTGGAGTAATAATAAATCATTTCTTTGCTTTTATGATGATGAGAGTGATGATTATGATGATTAATATAATTGTATTTCACTGTAATTGTTTATTTTAGTGATGAAATTTGACACACGGTTTCAGGTCAACTAAAGTGGTAACTAGTGATAGCTGTGTTGGTGGGAGGTGATGACAATGACGGGGAAACTGTAATGCTAATGAGAAGAATGAAATGAGAGGAACAGAGAAAAGTACAAGAGAAATGCGCTTATGTATAGTAAAGATGTTTAGAGAGAGCAGAAGGGATTGGATAAAGTTAGGGATCATAAATTGACAGGAATTGCAGCAGGTAGGGAAGGAAAGGGGGAGCAGGCCTTTTTTTTTTTTTTTTTGGTCTTGTTTTTATAATAATGTATAACTGGAGCCCTGGAATCAGGATATAATCTGAAAAAGAAAAAGTTACCTTAATAAGGAATAATTACATTTTTTGTCAAGATTTTACAAATATTATAAACATTAATAACTATACATTAAAAGCATTTAAGTCCCAGATTTAAAATTTGCATCTTTGTCTGAACATGTACTTACTGACAAAGTCTCTTCCCACTTGGGTTTTTTCAAACAAGACAGACACTGGCACATGTGATGCCTTAAATCACACACACACACACACATATATATATATATATATATATATATATATATATATATATATATATATATATATATATATATATAGCCACTTGCACATCTAGAATTAACTAAATTTTTTAGAGGACCTACTGGCAAGCATTGATGGAAACAAGGTACAGAAAACAATTTTACTTAAATAGCTTTGATATGATTCTATGAATAATTCAAAAGCTGAAAATTATGTAGAATATTTTTTGCATAATTTACATTATGCAGAGAAAAGAAAAATTATTCATACATAAATTCAAATTCAAGTCTCAATCAAATACTGACTAGTTTGTTACAGGTTGAAACTTACATTAATGAATAAGTTGTTTGCTAACAATATGTTAATAGAAGTTTTTAAAAATACTAAAAACATGTCTCTGCTGAAGGAGAAGATCAACAGTACAACTTTTTTTTCTTAAATAATGAAATACAAACTGACATCCCAAGAAGTTTTCCTTACTCATTTTCAAAGACATCAGTTATTACAATGAAAGAGTAATTAGTCCTTACATGAAGTTATGGAAATTTGAAATAAAGTGTCTGGGGGGTAAGATGCAGTAAACACTTAAAATAAACTAAAGATAGTACAGCAAAAATAAACAAAAGATATACACATAAATAAATTTAGCAATAAATATAGAATTTTTTTTTATTAAAATACAAGTAATTAAACTTTAAAAAAATCTACAATGGTTAATATATATATTTTTTTATGCAAAAACCTGGAAATATGAAGCAATTTGATCAAAAACTAGTCGAGAATTATACAGTTTGATATAACTGAATGAGATTGCTGAGCTGGCGAATCCAAATTGCCAAAGTAGACAAATTAATGAAAGGCAGAAGATGAACATTTTAAAACTCTTAATTCAAAAATAAATAAAAATATAAAAATCATTTGAGATTAAATCAGTAATCAACAACTGCATTTCACTAAGAGGATTCCTAATTAAAATCAATTTCTTAAATACACTAATAGAAGAAATGATTAAAGATAATATGCAGATAAGTTTCTGCATACATGTGTAAATAAGACACTTCCATCAGATATGTTTTCAATCAAAATTGTTTGTTCTTTCTTGAGTATTTTTATACGAGGTAGCATTTTACAATAGAAGGATCTGTTAGAGAAGCATCCCTTCAGTTGAAAGTAATGAATACTAAATGACAACATGAAAAATAATATAGACATTGATCTGGCACAGGGTCATAACAGAAATGCACTCAGTAAAGACAAAGCTATCCACACTAGTAAATAGTGTGTGTGTGTGTGTGTGTGCACACATTAAGCTTGATAACCACCACTATATCAGACAATGTTAATGCAACATTCAAATAATTAGGTAAATGTAAATCAAAACAAGATGAAATAATTGAGCCCAACTAACCTGTTTTACAGTTGACTTAATAAATTCTTTCCTTGGTGTGAGATCAAAGTCTGGATACTTAGCATAGACCTAGAAAGGAAAATAGATAAAAGAGGAAAATAAAAAAATAAAAATAAATTTACATACAACAGGAGGAGAAGGGAAAAAAAGAGAAAACAAGAGGACTTTAAATACATTAACCCACTGGGGGATGGAATCAAACCTCTTTATACAATAAAGAAAGCTAAAGTATTTTCTAATCTTTGCAGATTTTTAATCTAACTGAAGAAATAAGCTAGCATAATTAAGGTATTCATTTTTATCATATATGTAAACTGCTGGTCTTAGCTGCATAAATAGTAACAAATTGACAGACTGGAAACCACTCATTTTTTGTGAGTGTACTTTTATCCAATTGGTATACAGAATACTTGTTTTCTCAAACCATGACACTGTGTGTATTAACAATGACTTGATGGTTTTAAATCAAACTCTGCAAAATAGGAAATTACTCCACTCCCAACATCATTAAATTGCCAACTATTTATGCACATTGACCAAACAGAATTGATAGGAAGTAATATCATTTTAGTAGCACTACCAAAATGATATTCCAGCTAAATTCAATAAGAGTCCATCCTGAAGGTCCTCAGATTTCATCCAAATTTTCACCATTTGTTAACATTCATCATCATTACATCTCAAACAGATTTTACACCACTCTGAAAATTATGAATTTTTTTTTTCTCTCATTGGCTGCCTTTGGAACTCTTTCCTTCATTACAATCATTATGACTCAAATTCAATCAACTAATCACACACTTGTCACTTGTTATAAAAACCTCAACTGAAATTTTTTTAAAAATGTGCAAAAAAATAAATAAATAAAAATAAAACAAATTAAAAAAAAAAATACTTTTACAAAGTCCTGGATTTCAGCTATCACTGTATGAAGACAATGCAAACTACCTCATCTTCTCTTATCATGCAGTGTGTATAAAAAGCTAAAATAAACCCAATAAAACAGATTTCCTCATGCTGCATTTCTGAACAACAGAAAGGGGGAAAAAAAAAAAAAAAAAAGAAAAGGGAGAGAGAAAAGGGGGAAAAAAAAAGAGAAAAGGGAATGAAATTGAAAGAAGTCATAAGCATGTAGTGAAAATGGGTGAAAATGAAATTTTCCAATTTTTGAGGAAAATCAAAACCCTAAAAATTAATATGCACAATTTGGGGAAACTTTTCAACCAATAACTACTTTTACATCTACCATTGAACTGTACAAAAACATATATATGGTTGGCAAATGCTGCTTTACATTTGCTTACTGGGATTTTACATTTCTGATGTTGAGGTGATAATTTTCTTCAAAATGCACATATAGCACAGACATGACCAGAAATAAATTTTTCCTGGAGAAATAATTTCCTCTGAAAAAAATGTCAGTAAAACAGCCAATATGTCAATTTGGATGTCAACAATGTGAAGTAAAACCGAAATCTATCAGAAACAATCAATAACAAATATGTCAGTTTTTTATGGGCAATAAATATGTCACATCAAACTCAGCACACCATGACCATCCAATGACAACCAATATGAGTGGCCTGTGCTTCCTGATGATGGAGGGCCAGCTGTTCTCACATGTTTTCAATTGGAGCCCAGCAGATGTCATCATTTTGTGGCCAAAAGAACTGGCTTGATGGGATTTGGGGATGAAGGAATTTGACATAGAAATCAGAATTTTCCACAGATACATAATTAGCAAAGTACCAGTCATTGTCATACTTGCAAGCATAATAGGACCCAGGCAAAATATACTCTATAGGCAAAATATACTCTATAGACAACATATTGCAAACACTGTCACACAACAGCGAAGAACCATTTCCAGAAACTCATGCTGATGTTATTGGCAGAAGACATGAATTGATAGTTTCTGCGTTTGTCTCCGATTTGACTGTTTCAGTAACCGATTCAGATGATGGCTCATCTAGTGGTGTTTCTTGATTGCTCTCTTCAGTGCCATGAGGCTCAGCAATGAGCTTTTTCACATAATTTCTGCACAACTTTTGAACAGGTAAAATCATAAGGCTTTGTGACAAAAGCTCCTTGTGTTCTACCAATGTAATCTCATGCAGATTTTTATTGACTGGGACTTCATGAATTTTCAGTGGATCCTCAGAGCCATATGGTGATTGTAAATATCAACAATTTCATCCTTGATTTTTGTTTGGATTCTTGAAATGGAATATCATCTGCATTGATTATCAGAAACTGTCTGTCGGCATGGAAATTTAAGTCCAAATGCTCAACTACAATTTCCCATTTTTGACTGCAATTAAAAGATGTAATGATCCCATCAAACAAAAGAAATACCATCAGAGTGGGTACACACAAAAATTGGATATCTGAACAATCCAGTATATTCATAACTTGTGGGTTCTTCTGGAGAAGGAGGAAAAAAAACACAACATGAGCACAAACACAACATGAGCACAAACACAACATGAGCACAAACACTAAAAACATTTCAATCACAAAGTCATGATGTTCACATAATTCAGCAAACAAAATTTGACATGGAAATGCAGTGCATGGGTTTCAGAGACCTGGTTTCCACCAGTCATGATGTAGTCATTTTGCCTCAGTGAGATATCAATTTTAGTTTCATGCTCAAATCTGTCAATATCACACTGAGGAGAGCCATTTAGCGGGAACATCTATTTACTCACACTCAATCAATCTTATGTGATGTTGCCTGGTATTAGAAAGAAATTGCTTGAAAAAAATAAAAAAAAATAAATAAATAAAATAATAAGTAAAAAAAAAGCTCAATGTTCTGGCCCACTACGCATATCATGTATTTATTCCACATTTGTTCACTTCACAGACCATGAAATGTTACAAGTGGTGATCATTTGCCAACAATGTTTTTGTGCAGTTCAAAAGGTTCAAGTAGTTATAGGTTGAAAAATTTCCCCAATGGCAGACATTGACTTTTCTGAAAAGACTGGAAAATTTCACCCCCACCCACATGCTTATGGCTTCTTTCAATGGTTTAAAACATTCCAACTTTTCTGCACTCTTGTATACATCGTCTTTCAGAAAATGTATAGTTTTTACATGGTTGTAATCAAGGGATGATATTACAATTGCTGAAAAATGAAGAGAGAGAAAAAATTAATAAAAAAAACCCTAAAAAACTGTATTTTTTCATTTTTTGCCCTCCTATTGCTCAGGAACATAATAATGTGAAGAGACCTATTTTATTGCATTTATGTGAAATTTTTGAGACACACTGCACAACGAGAGAAGATGAGGTGGTTCTTATATTTTTTCATGCAGTGACAGCAAGCCAAAATCCAGGATTTTGACCTGAAAAGGAGTTTTTGCACATTTTTAAAAAATATCAGTTGGGATTTTTGCAACAAGACACAGAAGTGTGTAATTAGTTGATTGAATTTGCAATTGAATTTGTGGGACTCATAATGGTTGTGATGAAAGGAAAAGTTCCAAGAATAAGCAAGTTGTTTTCAAGAAGTCTATAAAAAAAAAAAAAAGAATTTTTCTCAATGTTTTCAAAATTTACAATATCTTCAGTATATTCAGAGTGGTGTAAAATCTGTCTGAAATGAGGTGGTATGCTGAAATTTTCTGGAGCAACTCTTCTCATGAATGTTAAATGGTGAAAATTTGGATGAAATCTGAGGACCTTCAGGACAGACACTTGTTGAATCAGGCTGGAATGACCCAGTGAAAAATAGTCTTCAATCAATTATCCAACAATTAAATACGATCTGTTCACTTAATAACAATGTTCAAGAACTAAACCATTTTGAACTCACTTGTTTTATAACAGTCTTCATAGTTACTTCTTCCAAATTGGCACCTTCTAGGATCTTTTTTACATCCTCATGTATATCATCATCCTAAAAAAAAAATAATGGAGGTTGAGTTAAAAAAAAAAAACTATTAATAATAGTTTAAGAAACTATTTGTTTTTACTATTATCTCTAATAGTAATATCTAAGACAACTTTTCTACAACAATTAAAAAAATATCATTGATGGAAAAACCAAACATGTAGCCGTCAAACAAGTGTAAAGGGAGAAGTGTTTATTAGTTTAGAGCTGTTGGACATTCTGTTCATAAAAAGAAAAAAAGGAAGTTACATTTACCAATTAATACCAAATAATGAGAATTCCTGTTATTAAAATATATGGTTCAACTGTGAATGACGAAAATTGCTGATGCAGTTAATAGGCTCAAGTAAATGTGGAATGAAGAAATTTAATCATAAATACCAAAACCTCTTAGAATTTCCTGTTTTTTCTTCAACAGACACACAGCATACCAAAATTTGAGAAAACTTTGATAATTAGTTTGTCAATTGACTTGGCAGAATATTTAATAGTAAATTAATCTTGAGGCATTCATTATATGTAGGAAAACAAAATTCGTATTTTGTTTTTAACAATTACCTTGTAACTGATTTTTAGTTTTGTAGATATGAATTTTCAAAGTTGAAAATATGATTGATATTTAAATAACCATAAACTATCTACAATAAAAAAGCCAATCTACGTTAATTATGGCTTATTCTGTTAAAATAAAATTTTAAAAGAATAAAATAAATTCAAACATTGATTATTAACTTTTTCTAATTTTTGTTAAGATTAGGACTAGCCATTATTAGCATTTGGATTTGTATTGTGACAATGACAATCAAAGATTAAACAAAGCAATATCACAAAGACAAATTAACTGATAGATAATCCTTTAGCATGGAAACTGGGATGAGAACATTCTACCACCATGGATTGTATAAAGGGTTCAGTTAATAATTTACAGAATGTTACTTTTAACAGAGATGGGAAGGCCAAATAGCACAATGATCAAAGCTTTGCAATAATAACCAAAATTCGGACATGCCCAAACAAATTAGTGTAGAATATTTATTTTCAATTTGAAGCACAATCATTCTGTTAGCCTTGGGGCTGTATGAAGATAAATTTAGCAAATATAAAAACAATTAACTGATAATTATAATTTAACTTATTTCACCTCCCACACAACACGACTGCTTAGTACTCAACTTATCTCAGTGATACAGTAGTAAACAAAAAATTAAGGGAAAGTTTAGGACCAATTCTTCATAATTTAATCAACATGACAAAACAGCCAAACAAGTTGAAAGGTGTACAAGCAAGACAAGCAATAAGATTTTCCTCAGCAAATATTAATATACAGAATTGTTTTGCTTTGTGAAGTTCAACAAATTTCACATTTTCAAGGTTTAACATTAATTGGGATTGGGGGGGGGGGTAAAATACTAATCAGACTGCTAAAATTTTACATGTAAATGCAGTTGCTAATCGTACAATCTTTTCTTTTTGTGAAAGAATCAGTATAAATTACCTACATACTTAACCCTTTGAGCCCCGACCACCACTTTACTGGTGACAGAGAAAAATGACTTAATGCCCAGCCACTGTTTGAACAGTGGGTAAACACTTGCATTGTGTTATGCTATTCTTGTGCATCAAGAGAGGCAGCACCTGCTAGGTAGGCTGACACAAAGAAAGAATTTTGGCAATAAAGTGAAGGCATATAATCATACTCTCGCCCTGCTAAGTATAATGCTCTAATTTTTTGTAACTATTTTTATATCTACCACAAAACATTACAAACCAATTATTTGCGAATTTTGACTCAAAAGTTCAGGCAGAAGGGTTAAAATTATTCAGGAATGCAAGGCTCAAAGGGTTAATGATCATAATTTTATTCTATTTTTAGTTTCTTTCCTATAATTTTTGAGTTAAGTCCATTTTTATTAGGCATATGAAAACCTTCACACAATACAAGTCAGGGTTAAGCATATTACTCTTGCAGAACAAGATCTTTCTCAGTTGAGATATGTATAAAAAAGATGCTTCAAATTTAAATACTGAGCCCTTAAAGGTGATCAGTTCAACAAGTCAATGATACATTAGATAAGTCTATGTTAAAAAAAAAAAAAAAAATCCCAATCCACATAAAAACAACCCTTTTATAGCAACTTACAGATGGTGGAGATTTCTTTTTCTTTATGATAGGTTCATCATCTGAACTGTCTGAGGAAGATTCAGAAACTAAAAGAAAAGAAAAATTAATCTCAATATTTGCTTCATTCATTTTATAACCTACATAATACAAACTATATGAATCTACAAACATACACAACATTACAGATAAAAATTCATATACCTAACATCAAATTTGAATAGTTTCTGCACAATGATACTTCTATGAATGACTAGTGTACCCATGCCATCAAAAATGACAGCAATTGTTAAAGTTTTAATAGTGAGGTGCAATGAAACTAAAGTCTTGAAACAATGTATTGAGATTCAATAAAGCAGAGATAAAGAATTCACAAATAAAATAGAGCCCAATGAACCACTTAATCTATTCTCCTTTTTTGTTTTACAGATGTTCAATGGTACATATGATTCATTGATTACTTTTGGTATTATATAAATTGCTTTTTGCTCAATATCTTTTCATGTTAAAAATTCTGTGTTTAACATAACCGTGAAATGGAAATCTCTCTCAGAAGAAACAAGATTAGCAACAGAACAAGGCCTATTTCAAAAATAAGTTGAAGCAAGGCGATTACTTAATGGATAAAGGTATCTAAGTGTCTCACAAAAGGCTTGAACAAATAAGACTGCAATCTAAGAAATGTAGTTGTAAAGGAAGTCATTAATTAAACGGTTCATTTTGTTCGGGGGAGCAATTTTGTCTAAATGCAGATAAATATTTTATTTGTAGAGTATTAAAATAACTAAGGGAAGTAAATATTCATAAACTTAAATTGATTTACCTCCCTTTCCACTACACATTGATACATTATTAAATGCTTTGAAGAATCTGGCAACACTCACTTTTACGTTTTTTTGGAGTTGATTTCTTTTCAGCTTTTTTCCGTGTTTGCTTCTTTTTCTTTTCAGCCTTTTTTTCTTTCTTTGATGACTTCTTCTCTACCTTTTGTTTCTTCTTCTTTTTGGGTTTCTTTATAAAGAATAAAAAAAAAAAATCATAAAATTAAACCTTAAATCACAAATACAAAAATACAATGTTATGCATCCAAGCAATTATCTTTACAAGTATTAAAAGTCAGATGCTATCAAAATATATTAGGTTGGTGCAAAAACAATGACGTAATAATGTCGTTTTTTGACGTATTTTTTAAGGTCAAAAAACGACACTATTACGTCATTATTTTTGCACCAACCTAATAGCTTCAGAGCGGTCTAGTGAGGTTCCTCATATTGAATTATTTCAAAACATATCAGACGTACAAGGAGAAAATGAGAGTCCCAATCTACTTCATCTCAAGACTATGCTCTACATGCATACATGTTTGAGCACAAACATGAAGAGATGGGTCTAGATAATTTAGGCATTCCATATCACATCCTAAACAAATCTACTAATAGAAAACAGCATTCTTGTTTTCCCCTCCCAAAGCCAGTGTACAGATTGAGCAGGTTTATGTGGTAAACATTCTCTACCAAGGTTCCCAAGAAATGTGACTGAAGATAAACTTTTCCAAAGCAGAAACTATGATCTAGAATTGAAATGAAAGCAACTCTGAATCCATTATAAAAATTCAGGATATGGAATTAATAAATTCTAATTCATCTTAAATACCTTTATGTATAAAACAGTTTAAACAATTTAATATAGGATATAAGAAAATTGAATATAGAATAGGCTGTGCTAAGGGTAGTTTGTCCCTCAAAATGCGATAAAACCATCATTCATCAAATTTCATGTACTGGCACTACAGAATCACAAAGAACTTTGCCAAATAACAGAAACCACATCTCTAAGACTCAACAGCAGCAACAAATAAAATGTTACAATTTTGTGTTCAAATAAATAAACTGGAAAATTTGTATTCAAAATCTGAATCATTCATATTTCTCTTAATTTCATATGATAATGTAGATAGTAATGGTAACAGTGAGATTAACATTTGGCATTCATTGCCTTACCAGTTAGCATTACTGTTATTCTTTCTCCTAAATCAATTTTTCAAGAAAAATTTTCGAATTCACTGTTATTACTCTTTTGTTTAGGATAGTGGTGTTACATGTGCTATCCATTTTAGTTACAACAATTAACATGTAGCTTTCCAAGATAGTGTTGAAAATGTAACTGAAAATAATGTAAGCAACAGTGAATAAGTTGCTTTGATACAAATTTTCATTTAATATTCCTTTTGTATTAATATGCCATTTTAATATGCCATTTTAAGGTCAAGCAATTTAGCAAATTTTGCTTATCAACCCTATGTAAAGAATCTACAGAATTAACCAATTATCAAAGAATACGAATATGTAGGTTGAGTAGCTTGTCAATGTGGAAGGGGGGGGGGTGTTGGTTCAAAATCCAAATTCCAGCCTCATGTTTTATATTAATGATTTGAGAAAGGCATAAATCTATCTCTTTTCTCCCACCTACACGTTAAACCACAATGTAAATAACTTTGGGTAGCAGCCAATCTAGAAGGCCTAATCTCAATTCAAAACCATGGAGAAAGCAATGGGGACCAACTTCACTATTTTTCCTAACTCATGACAATTCACAGATTATAAAAATAACAAAAAAGTGTGGCAAGTGATAATCGCCTAAATGGTCATGGCATTAAAAGAAAAAGGAAATCACAGATTACCAATTAATAGCTAACAATATTTTTAATATTACCGAACTTAAGACAATACTTCATTTTAATAAACAATCATACAACTTTGATTTAAACTGCATGATGAAAGTGTGTTTGCGTATATATATATATATATATATATATACACACACACACACAACTATTTCTAAATAGTTACACTGCATTTTTTCTAAACAAAAACTGCTTATTTCTAGTCTACCATGTTGGTCATCATTTGCTATAGTCAATAAGAACCCTACCTCCTCTTCACTTTCCTCCTCAGATTCCTCACTACTGTCATCATCATCATCATCTTCCTCCTCATCTTCCTCATCCTCAGATTCTGATGCAGATAAATCTGATGAATCTGAGGATTTCTTCTTCTTGGAAACAGATTTCTTTTTGTTATTTTTCTTTCCTTTGCTCTTGGCTTTAACACTGCCAGATTTCCCTGGAAGAAACCAATACAAAAAGAGTTAAATCTGTGACTGGAAGTCATTTATAATCTACAACACAGAGTATGAATTTGAAGTGTTACAAAAAAAAAAAAAAAAAAAAAAAATTGTTCAAAATTCCAACAGTGACAAACTATTAAAAAAAAAAAAAAAAAAAAAAAAATTCACAACATTTTTATGTGGGGAGGGTGGGGGAAGCTGGAAAGTTCTCAGCCAAACTAAGAAACCCCAAAATAATTTTGATATTTGCTCAAAGAACTTAATGTTTTTATTGTGTGACAAAAATGATAAGCAGCCACTCACGTTTCTTTTTTGGTTTTGGTACACTTTCACCAGAACTCTTGGGTGCAAGCAAGAAATCCATCAGTTTGTTTAGAATATCTTCTTTGGAACCGCCTCTTTCCAAATCCAAGATTTTACACATCTTTTTCAGACCAGCTATTGTGTTTCTGAAGAAAAAAGAAAAATGCAAGCACTAATTTAAAAAAAAAAAAAAAAAAGTTTTATTTCAAAATTATAAACATTTCTTAAATTATAATAACAGCTTTATGATCTATAAACAAGCAAGGATCTTGTAAATTTCATAAATACCCTCATGATATTTCAAAACAAATGGAAACAAATGAAAATAAATTGCAGCAACTAAGTTATCAAAATTCCTTTTTGGGATACAGATTATATAATAATCATAAAAACTAGATTTTATGACCCATCTTTAATTACTTGCTTTACATAAATATTGATAAACTGTTAAAATACTTAAGATATTGATGACTTTACATGCATAAGCATAGAAGGAATCCCTCTTTAAAGATATTTTTTTCACTTACTTGGATAATTGAGCTCTTTTCTTTTCAAACCGTTTATCATCTTTGTCAAAGTCAAAACCATTAAATTTTCGAATATTCTTTTTAATAACTGCCACCTGAAGTGAAAAAATTTTCAGAATAAAGATAAATAAAAATCTTGATATTAGTCCATGTCAAAAGATAGAATAACATGATGGCAAGATGTTAATAGTAGCACTAACTACATCAGTATTTTCTTTTAAAACACTTTAGGCTTTTTACAGCTAGTCATTTTTTCATCAAAATAAAGCAATTAATATTTCAAAATAAATTTATTTCTCTTTAAACAATTGTTTACAAATTAACTCATTTACCAAGCTCAGATCCAAGATAATTTACAACCATATTTAAACAAACATGTACTTATAATTTTTGCTGAAATAACATTACACAGGGCCTTCATATAAATCATTTTACTATAACATTAATTGTTCCTAAGAATAATATACACAATAACCAGGACAGCTAAATTGTTTATCTTATTTTTTTGGCTCTCAAATAACTAATAGCTACTTCAGAAAATACCCACTTTCATTCAATCTATTTTCAACATCAACTTTAGATGTTAAAAAAAAAAAAAAAAATGATATGTCAAATCACTACATTAAGATTCAGGTAATAAATGGACAGAAACCATTATTTTTTAACTATAATAATTATGATGAGTAGTATCAAAAAGTTAACCCAAGGGAGGTAACTAACATTTTTTTTTTTTATATGACCTTCAAAAGTTCATATAAATCTGTAAAGACCATGTTGTCAAGGCTGAAGAGATTGGAGACACTTTAAAATCTTAATTAAAACCAAAAATATTAGTTTGTTTTTTTTTTCTTCCATAAAAGTATTTATGAATAACACACACATACAAAAAAAAAAAAAAAAAAAAAAAAGCAAAATTTAACCTTCATACCCACAATAAAATGGTGGGTCAAAAGTATAGTTTTTACCTTGACATAATTATTTTGTACTACCTTCACTCCCTCAGCAATGTTTAGAATTTTAATAAAACACAAACATGAAAATGAAGTTATACATTTTCCTTGTTCTTTGAGAATTTATGACTAAAATATTAAACACTACTTATTTATTAGATTCTTTATTTACAAGAATAATCTTATATTTACAACATTCTAAAAATGTGAATCAAGTAATGCAATGTTTATTATTTACTAATTTATAAACAAACCATTCTTATTCATAAAAATTTATTAAATCATAAAAATATGTAAACTATAATAAAATCTTTATTATTTACCATTTTATAATTTTCAAATCAATTGGAAATTCACCAATGTTTTGTCAACTATTTAAATACAATTCTGTTTTAGTTTACTCCATTTGTAAGGGGGGGGGATTTGCAATCAAATTTTCTTGAAATAATTTAAACTTTTTCAGAACGAACAAAAAGAAAAAGAACGTGTTTTAAGACATCTGGACATAAAATCGTATACATTTAACTCGGCAGAAAACAATGATTTAGCCATCCCCAGGGAGAAGGAATGGAGGAAGCATTCTCAGGCAATTTAGAATACCCAGTTCAAGGACTCATCTTTTGTATCAAAAACATTTGCATGAATTAAAAATTACATTTTCTTAAATAAAATGTGTGTGTGTGTGTGTGTGTGTGTGTGTGTGTGTGTGTGTGTGTGTGTGTGTGTGTGTGTGTGTGTGAGACCCAATGTTGCACAACCTTTTCATTATTTCTGACAAGCAATTAATGCAGGGAAGGGACAACTCAACACTGCCAACTCCAGACCGAGACAACTCAGCACCAGAAAAACATGAGTTGGCAGTGTTGAGTTTTCCTACATCCATGTTTCCCCCCCCCCATCATTGTTAAATGAAATCTTAGATGATTAAACATTTTCCTTTGTTTTAAGCAAATATTTTCATACAAATTGATACAAATAAAAAAAAGTTGAATATTTTTAAAAATGCTGTCAAGATAAACATGAACTGTTCTAGCACTTGTCACCTTTGATATTTCACTGTTTACACTACACTAGAAATGCCTATGGCTACAAGTTACTTTTCAACACATCTAAAATTTTTCATTGAAATTGTGGCAATTTCATCACTGTATAGAAATAAAATATAGAATTTGCAATATTTCTTTATTTTTTATTTCCAAGATCATTCTTAACATTCAATATGAAACAAAAATTATCAAATTTTAAAAGTAATGTTGAAATTATGAATTAATTATTTAGGTCCTATAACACCAAAAAGACTTATCTAAAGCATTCAAAACCTCAGTACAAATATCAAGTTGAAAAAAAAAAAAAAATTCACTTACAGATCCAGGTCGGTCAAACAAAGTTCGATGAATAATTTTCAAATCTTCAGCTTTCACTTGGTTCAATTGGTATTCGACTGAAAGGAAATACAAAAAACACACACTACATATTTTTCCTTCTCTTCTAAGAAAAAAAAAAAAAAAAAAAAATAAAAAACAATCACAAATTACAGCATAAGAATTTACTTACTTCTTGGACAGTCACCTAGTTTCTCCCCAGTTCCTTCTGGAATATGGAGCTCTTTCTTGTCATTAGATATCTCCAAACGCTCAACTTTTCGTTTCTCTCGTTTGCCTGACTCAATGACAACTGGCCTTTCCAGCAAGCCCACTAAAAGAAAAATAAACAGTTAATCAAACAGTCAAAGTTGAACCAGTTACCAAAATCTTGACTGATCGTTAACCTATTCTGTGAATATTTAATATATTGACTTGCATGAAAACAACAAAAATGAGAATTTGGATTTCAGTAACAAAATCAAAATGACAAAAATATGATAAATATAAATAATAAAAGCTTGAATTTCGTTTTTATTTTACCTTTTATATTAAGCAAAAAAAGAACTCGGCCAACATACTTCCATGAGTCACAAATGACACAGAACCATGTGGCCAGGAGGTATGGTTTAGTAATAATATCAGGACACCAGTTTGAATATAATCACCATATAATGATGATTCTACATAATCTCAAAAATGCAGATACAAATATTGCCATTGTTTACAAAATTGCTTTTAAGCCTTCAAGACCACCTCTACACTTTTCAGATTAACTATTTGCCTAATTTTATTTAGAGGGAAAATTTAAGGGAACTATAAAAGTTAATATGGAAAATATTTTGGCAGAAATGCTGTTATGCTTATATTTAAACAAATTACTGATTATTTATAATAACTCTGCATTTTTTATTTTCTTTGGCACTACATCATTTGTTTATGGTATGAACTGCACATTATATACCACTTGTTTCTTAGGAAAATGTTAAATGCATTTCAAAACAACTGGTTACAAATAATTTCTTAAAATAAAATAAATATTGAGCATTTCAGCTGAATAGCAAATATTTTAAATAAACAAAAATAAATTCAATTAGAACAAAAATTTATCACACTAAATTTTTCATCCAAAACTTAATTTCAAAACCATATTTGAAGTCATCAATTTTCCTTTGATTTCTATTTGTAGTAATCAACACTGTATTGGTCAGTTCTATTAGCTACTTTCAGATTTAAAACTTATTCGACACTACAATATAAAAAAAAAAAAAAAAAAAAATCAATGTTTACAACATGGATTCATTGCCCAAATATTTTCTGCAAAAAGCTTGAAGATTTATTGCACTCCATTTTCAATTTTGAGGTGACTCATTATCATTCCAAGAGTTAAGTGAATAAATGAAAACTCTTAAATCAAAAGCTTTTAGACAATCCATTCTACAGCCTTATTCAAGTGTACAATTTGTATGGAAAGTGGGAGAGCCATTTTTCTTTTCTTCTTTACACAGATTGTACTCCCAAATATAGCCAAAGGACAACAAAAAGAATGAAATCAAATCTTAAAAGAATATTACTATTAATTTAATCTGACATATTTCTCATATGAGAAGAACACATTTCGATCACAATTTTTCACATGTGACATTTCCCATTCAGTATCTTCACTTATAAAAATAATTGTTCAATCAATATTGTCATTATGGCTATTTTTTTTTTAAATTGTCACCAATTTTCAAACAAAATAATGACTTTAAAGATAGAGAAAAAAGTAATTTCAGGGAAAATGTAAAGCATGAAATTACAATTGCGTAATTAATGTACAATTTATATAATTGTAATCAATGAAGAAAACAGCTGCAGAATTGACAAAAAGTGGAATAAATTCATTAGCGTGGCTCAGATTTTTTGTGCATCATTAGATCAAACGAATGACTACCACCAATAAGGCTGTAACAAGACGATTGGTATTACCTCCCTTGTGCTTATATTTACCTACCTTGCCTTTGTTCAATTTTCTATTTGATTCATGTTGATACAAACATAACAATCTAATGTTTTTGTTATATAATTTTAAATCTGCTATGTGTGCTTATTTCAAAGAGCTACTCAACAGGTTGTTTGCCTACTTTTAATAGAAAAAGTACACTCAAGTAAAGTTAAAACCTTACATTGTGGTTCTTCATCCTCATTTTCGACCACCTCCACTTGTTTCTTGGAAGTTTTTTTGTCTTCAGCAGCTTCTTCCACTTTTTCTTCTTCCTTTAAACTATCTTCAGTATCAAAGTCCTTAGATACTTCCATATCTCCTTCTACACCTTCAATCTTCACCTAAATAAAATAATCAGTTTTAAAATTTACTGAAACTGATGAAAACAAGTTCTTCATATTCAAAAATGGAATAGTTTAGTAAATGAATCAAATACAACAAAAATTATACAACACAATTTCTAAAAGAAACATTTTAAGGTGGAAATAAATTTAGTTATGATCAGTGCAAAAAATAGACAAACAGAAAAGAAATGACAAAATCATATTTTCATCAGTCATTCACAAAACAATCTGAAGTATTTACTAGTTTACATCAAAAACTATCTTGCCATTAGATAACATGATGAACATTTAGTTTTAACTGTTTTTAAGAAAAATTTTTTTTGATTTTATTGTGACAATTCTTATACAAAGTCAATATCAAATATTTTTTAAAAGTTGCCAAAATTGAACTCTGGCTATTTTTACTGATTCTAACAAAAAGATTATAATTAATAGTAGTAGTATATTTAAAGAAAGGTAAAAAAATGCAATGCAAATATATATATATATATATATATATATATATATATATATATATATATATATATATATATATATATATATATGAAGAGAGAGAGAGAGAGAGAAGATACTGCAGATGATTAGATATATGAAAAGTAATTTGAAAAATTGTACAGGTTTGTTTCTCTGAGTTTGATAGCAATCAAATCATTATTTAAGAATAATCAATATCCAAATAGTGTTGGAAATCATTTTGCAAGTTTAGTTATGTCAGTCCTTTTGACGTGACTTCCACAAAAGGGATATTACTTTTTGTAAACAAATTTTGATGGGTGATGAGACAAGTGCTACTCCCACCGAATTAGGCCAAATGAAGGCATCAATTGATGAAACACATCCAGGTAGTTAACAGAAAGGGCATAATATCCTATCACTAGACTGCCTGCATTTTTGCTGATCAAAGTTTTACAACTTGACAAATTTTCATTCATTCACCATGCATTGCACCTTCAAATTTATTAGATACTAGCAGTAGAGCCCGGCATTGACCAGGGATGTAACAGTAAGAGATAGATCAAGTATCGACCATTATAAAGACAGAAAAATAAAATTGACAAAGATTATTGTTTAAGGTTGACAGACATGCATGTCTTGCTTTTTTTTTTTTTTTACAAATTGGTCAAACCCAAACAAAAACATTGTTTTCAATCGTTATGAGTCTACCGATTGAATAGAATTTTATTATAAACAATTGCCATGTAAATGGAATTTTTAAAGCATTCTGAATTTAAAAATAAAGAAAAAAGTGTGCAAGACAATAAGAAACACTACCTGCCAAAAAAAAAAAAGTGAAGTTTTGTTGAAATCGGTTGAAAAATGTAGGAAATCTGATCCCATATATAAACGAACACAGACACACAAACAAACAATCTGGGTTTTATAATAATAAGTATAACTCAATATGCGTTGTCCCCCCTTTCATTCTCGTGACAGCGATGCATCTTAATCGTGTTTTCAAATTGATTTCATGCAAAAACAATTTTTCCAATTTTTGGCACTGTCAGAACCACCGCAAGGTAATTTTACGTAATCCTCTGAAGTTTTGTTGAAATCGGTTGAAAAATGTAGAAAATCCGATCCAATATATACACACAACCTGGGTTTTATAATAAGTATGATTCGTGTATTAGTCTTTTTTTTTTCTTTTATGAAAGAACAAAATTCTCTTGAAATAAATTTAAATTTGCTAGAATACTGCTAAACGTGCTTAAAGCAGTACTTTCCTCAGAAATCTAAAAAAAACTTTCTAAGAGTGTAATATATCAAATAATATAAACTTTTCAGTGTATGCATATATAAACACACAGACACAAAAGTTTTACATATTAGATGTTTATTGACTAATGCCAAATTTGGTAAAAGACCATATTCAAAAGTATCAAGGAAGAAACTCACAAATATTTACAAGATTAATTCATTAACATTTAATACTGTAACTGATCTGCTATGAATACAGGTTTGTCCTTACAGGATTTTACACAATGACACATTAATTTTTTATTTTATTTAAATTCAGTTTTAAACTAATAAACAGTTTTGTGAAATCAGAACGGCTATATAGTTTCATTTCCTCCTTCAGCATTTAAAGTGCAGCAGAAATATCTTCCACATAATGGTAAAACATTAGCTAGATAAAAACACTATTGCCATTAATGTCCTATGAGAGGTACTTCTGGCACACCCTGTATTATCCATAAATCCTAACAGATTCTGTTCTTCTTATCAAAATTTTGCTTAGAGAAGAACATTATCTCTCTCTCTCACACACATATATAACACACACACACACACAACCATCCAAACATCCACCCACCGCAGTGCTTTAACAGGTTTTCATTAAGGTAACACTATATATAAAAAAATAAATTACAGACATCTACATTTTTAAACTATCCAAGAATATTGTGCAAATAAAAAAACTAGACTTGCTATGAACGGATTATTGAAACAAAAAAAAAAAAAAAAAAAAAAAAAAAAAAATCAGGTTTTCTATGAAGATCACAATTTAAAAAGAACCAGATATATTCAATAGCATTCATATCAGGAGATTGATTTGATTGACAAACTATCTTTTGAGGCCTGATATTATAAACTATTTTGATTTAAATAAGAATCTAGTAACTATCAGTAGAAATTTTCCCTCATGTAGTTATTCTTCTAAACTGATATTCTTCCCATGCTCCAGAAACTTTGAATCCCCATAAGTGAAAATCTGGGATATTTGATAATGGACTTCAGGTAATAGAAACAATTTTTGACTGGGCAATCTCCAGCTCTATACATGCTGTTTGAAAATAGAGCAATCGCTCTTATTATCAAACAGCATGTATAGAGCTAGAGATTGTCCAGTCAAAAATTGTTTCTGGATGTGAGATGTTAATTCCAAGGCCCAATTGCACATTTCTTTCTGAATGGTGACTGCTTTGCTATTATGTCATGAAAATACCATATTACTGGACACATGTTCTGCCTTACAAGGTTGTTTTTTTTTTTTTTTAATTTCCTGTTTCACAGCAAAACATCAATCTCAAAGAAAACAGTGATTTCCTTTCATTACCAAATTGAGAGTAGAATTTCAATTTCATGGTTATCTAACACTGGTTCATTTCACTTTTAGATAGACAAGCAATATATCTGTAAAATATATGCTCCTGAAATATTAAGTAGTTATTCCTCTTGAATTTTTATAGTAAAATGACTAATTGACAATGAGTGTACTTCTCAGGATATGAGATTTTTTGTAATAAAACCAACTTTAATGGTTGCATCAGACATGCACAGGTGCTCATTTGGTTCTTCCCTTATATTTCCTCATCAAAATTAAAGTGTATATTATGCACTACTAAACAATGCAATGTGTGAATTTATTACCAATTGTTTAGAACAACTCATTAACTATTCTAAACAACTAATACTAATGTCAGCTACTTATCTTGATATTTTTCATACTTTTAAAACTGCATCTTTATATTTCTGACATACAAAGAATGATCGACATTGGATGTTTGATAGCATGAAAAAAAATAAACGTTTACAATTTTACAAAAAGTCCACTAGAAGAAATATTTCTGAGAAACAGGAATAAATCTGGCCAGGAGTGCAATTTCAACCGTAAACAAAAAAAAAATAACCTATAGTAATCGAAATTGCTTTTTCAATACGTTTGTTACTTTTTTTTTAATCTTGAAAGAGATATTATTTGTCAATATCATCAAAATGCTATGATAAACACAAACAGAATATGAATAATTAATAATTATCTATTAAATTTGAAATCATTTTTTTACTGGATTTTATAATTTATAAAATATAAAAAAGAAATCAATTCCGTCGACTATTAGAGCTTTAGTTCCAATCCAACGCTTTTTTAAAGCGTTGGATTGGAACGAAAACTATATTACTAAGTTTTGTGCCCTGAATTTAAACGAGTGTCCTAAAAATTGTCAGTCACAAGACATCTCCACCCACAAGACAAATTTTCAAACTTTACTTATTTTTCTTGAAAGAGAGTGTAACTGATTTTGCTGCGATTTCAAAGAGAGTGCCGCCAAAGTTTACACTGAAAAAGCGAGGTTGAAAAAAAAAAAAAAAAAAAATACAGAATTTAATAAATTTAAAAATGAAAAAAAAAAAAAGATTATCCAAATCCTATACTTTTCTAATTTCAAAATAAAAGTTACGCATGAACTAAATAGCTTAGTAACAAAAAACAAATTCAAAATAAATCCGTTTCATGGAAAAAAAAAAAAAAACATCTTAGGTGATGTCTAGTTTACATTAAAAAGAAAGCGATCACATATATAACTAGATATAAAAAAAAGTTTCTCTATAAAAAAAAAATTTTAAAAAATCAATAAGCCAACGGCCGGGATAAAATTATTTTCGACACCAAGGAAGGTATTTTCAATGTAAAAATATGAATTTCTGCTGAAATGATAGTAGAAAAACATTTTTAAAAGAGGAAGCAGGAGCCACTAATATCCGTTTAAAACTGAAACCTCGTAGAAAAAAGGTCTAGTTAATTAATTTGAAATTTTAAAAATACTTTCGTTTCTGTTATAATTTTCTTTCATTTTAATTTCGAAAAATATTAAAATTCGATAAATATAGATGCATAGGTAAAAAATTTTTTAAATAAGATCTAAAAACGTTTATTGCGTAGATATGCAAAAAAACAAAAAATAAAAAAAAAATTGACTTTTTAATATTGTTTGCTCATATTTTCCAGATACTTTTTTTTTTTTTTACTTGCTTGCATTTAAAACAAATCAATCCATTAATGCAACATTATCAGTGGGTCAATAACAGAACAAAAATAAAATGCTTTTCAAAATTTTCAACTAAAAACTTATTCCGTTTCTCTTTATGATCAAGATCTAAATGCGGCCAGCAGCATTTCTTTGAATTATATTTTAACTGCCGATTTCAAAATTAATAATTTACACTACAGTTGATGCGATGTAAACAGAAAACAATGTTTTATCGATTATGTTAACCGTAAACTGAATTCGATTTAGCACGTGAATATTGGATTTTTCCCAATCATATTGCATAAACTTTATTCAATAAATGTGTACAACACACATTTCGATCGAAGCTGTTTTTTGTGATTATGGCCCTTAAACCGCTTTCTGTGAAAGCTTAACATACAAAAACAAATACACGAAAAAAAAAAAAGCTATAAAACATATTCTAGGTTACCTATCGATCTAAAAACAAAGAGGGAAGTAAAGGTTTTTTTTTCTTCTGATCAAGTGTGCAAGAGAAAGTTTTTTTTTATGTGATATTGTTACAGTTAGAGAAAACGTTCTTTGTAAATCACAGATTTGAATGTTTATTTTTTCTTATTTTTGTAAAAGAATTTGAATTTTTTTTTGTTTTCTATTTAGGGTCAGCCATAATTTGAATTCATAAGGAAAATATAAACTAACGGTTGAGATTCCTAAAATAAGAGTAGAATTTCACAAACTTAAAATTTTGTTTAATGAAGAATAAGATTTTACACTATGAAAAAAAATGCACAAGAAGCAAACAATTTTTTTTTTACTTAAAAATGCATAAAAAAAAATAGTGGATGGATAAATAAATACACGCGCAAAATATAATTTTAAAAGATCTCGCATGAGATGCAGATATAATTAGCGAGGTGAAGACATATACTGGAAATAGGAATCATCCACATGTAAGGATGTAAATTTGGAAGCAACTACTACATCGCCATGTGCATTTACATGAATTTGAAACTCCTAAGCACCCGGCATTTTAAAACTTAAAACTTATTTCTAGCCAGCGGAATTAAATAATCGATCAGAGCAACATTAAATGGAGTGTAGCAAATTATAAAGATGCGCATTCGACAAAGAAGAAGACACAAGAAATAACACCTCGAGAGGAAAATTATTTCAAGATCTGACAGTCGCTTGCATAAACTAGATCCCTCCGACATTAAACAGTCTGCAGAAGGGCCCCACCGAAAAAAATTGGGGCGGTTTTACTTTGAGCCCTCAACAACGATCGGTATATACAGAGGAAACACGAAGTGTGAAGCATTAAAACTCATGAGATATGGATTAAACTTAAATATATATGTATATATACTGTAGAGTGGAAAAACTAACCTCTTCCTCGGAAACATTGGGGCTGTTACCCTCGGACATTTTTAGATAATGTACAAAATGGCGGCAAACGACAAGCGGGAAGCACACAGCAAATCAGAGTGAAGGATTTAAATGAAAATCGGACTTACCGAATGGTTGTACAAACAGCAATTTCATTGGTCTATTTCCCACCTCTCCTCCCCACTTTCTTCATTTGACAAGCGTCTGGCAACGAATACATCACAGTTTACTTTTAGGCGTTATTTAAAATAAAATGCATGAATAAATAAATAAAAAAAAAATCACAAAACACCGATGACAACGATCACTTGTTTTTGGTTGAGCTTTTCTTTTTACTCTTCTTTTTATTCCATTTTCTCTTTTAAAAGAGACACTGTACATATCATCAGTAACTGACTATAACGAAATCTTGAATGTTTCACACTGGTAAAAAAAAAAAAACAAACTAAGACACAGTCACAGGTAAAAAAATATTTTTAAAAAAAGAAATAAAAAAGAACAATTGCCACTGGCTTTAAAAATGGGTTAAAAATTTAATAATTAAATTTTTAAGAATTTAAGTTGGGAGAATTATCTCAATAATTTTCTAATTCTATGTTTTTATTTTTTTTTGTTTTGTTTATTTTGCAAAAAAATTTTTGCTTCATGTTTTTATTTTATTTTTTCGTGCTTTTTAAGCCTTTTAAAAATTAAGAAGTGTTATGTGTTAATTTAATTTTAAAGTGTTAGATAGCCAACAAAAGACTTATGCTTAAAATAGATATCAATTAAAGAATAAAACATTTATCTAATGTTGCCGTAATTTCTAGTTCACGAATATATCGTCTGCTAAGTGACGGTGTGTATGAAAATAATTCCCTTTTTCATAGTCTACCGGGTTCGAGCAATTTTTAACCTACACAATTTGAATTAAGCTGAAATGCATATAGTCATATTATTAATTATTATTAGTTAGAATTTATTAAATCGACTTTTTATTTATTCGATTATTTGTAAGTACTAGCATAATACCAGTAAAGAAATTACTGAATTGTTTACATATAAACTGGCATATCTACCTAGGATCAGAAACTGTACTCTGGGAAAAAAAACGGGTTACTGTGTAGTTACACAAACGCAATAACATGACGCTTCAATGTGATGTAATGGTTAGCAACCTTGCCTCTCTAGATCAATTACATCTCAATATGGAATTCGAGTTTTACTGGGTGCTTCATATTTTCGGCCTTGTGTCACATGTAAGCTATATTTAGTAAAACAAAAGAAATGGTCGGGGGAATATCGACAAGAGTGCAAAGTTGGTTGCAGGGACCAGAAATTTTTGGCCTTAGCCCATGTGTATGCACTTGAACTCCTCATTTTAAACCAGTCATGTGTCATACCCCACTACAGTGGGAGAGGTGTAGTAAATAACTAGATCAGTTACAATTGAGAAGTGAGTTCAGTCTTCACTGTGTGTGTGTACATGTATGTGTGTGTATGTGTCAGATTACTTTCTGAGTACTAGAATTATACAATCCAGTACTACCTACCACATGACCAGGTTATCAGTAACTAAACTGTTTCCACAACCAAGCTTTTCTGGTGAGTACAGTGGCTAGACACCCAGCACAATTAAAAACCTATCAAAGATCAGATTAATTTTCTTGTGGGATTAACAGCCATCTAGCACACAGAGCCCTACTGAGAGTGAGAGATCCCTTGTCTTCATTAAGAAATCTCACTAAAAGGAAAACTCTCTAATATAATACCTGCAACTTGTATCCAATGATGTAAACCAATTCTTCTTTTTGGAAAAATATATTTAAAGTTAAGAGATTAAGATTGGCTCTGTGCAAGGCATTTCCTCACTTAAAAATTTTCAAACATAGGGTATCACTTGATTTTTTTAATGTTTTTGATATATATTGCATACTGTGATTGAGTTTGAGCTGATGTTGTACAATGAATGTGGTTTCATCCATCTAAGTAGAGGAGGCCTTAAAAATAATCAAAGAAGCCACATACAAAGTGTAGTCATTCACATTACACAGCATTTCTACTTGCAATGAGTGTGAAAAAGAATGTTTTTCAGTTGGTGGACTAAAACATCATTTGAAACTTTACCAAAATATTACTTTGTTTACTCACATAGAAACTATTACCAACTTTGACTTTAAACTGAAATTATTTAATTATGTATCATAGAATGTGTTGCTATTTACTCCTGTCTTAATAGTAACTCAGATAGGTCCAATAAAGAAAAACTGGCAGCTGATCTCAAAAATGACCTTCAATCTGTTGTTAACTGGGGCAAGAAACAGCATGTTAATTTTAATGCTTCCAAACAAAACTGCTCTCTTTTAGACATCATAGAGAGAACCATGTTCCATTAACATGGCTTAAGCCAACCTATAGGAGAGCAACTCATTATGTCTTCTGGGTCTCACATTTTTCACTGACATGAAGTTAAATGACTATATTGAGCTAATTGCTAAGTCTGTCGCTAGGAAAATCATTTCACTGAGTCATGCTAGACAGATTTTCTTGTCAGAATCCATCTTGCAATTATTTGTCCTTTTCATTGTTTTGTTTTTTTTTTTCCCTTCACTCACTCTTTAATCTCTTCCCTCTTTTTTTACTTTTTCCTCTTTTGTTTCAATTGTTACCATTTGGCTTCCAATTTTCTAGACATGTCGTTGTTAATCCTTGAACATTCTAGTTTTTTCTTGAGTTAGAAAAATTACATTACATTTTTTTATATAATTAATTTTAATGCTTAATTAATAAAGTGAATATTTATGTCTTTACTCAGCTTTTAGTTCATTTTCTTACCTGGTTTGGTAGCATCATAAGTACTATTAGGGTATTAATTGTGGCAGGTTAGGTTTATAATAAAGTTTTTATTTATTATTGTTTGAATTTGTATTTGAATAGCAAGTACTCACCCAAACAAGTTTGATTAAAAAAGAACTGACAAAGTTTGTCTGTTAAATTTATAATTGTATTTTTCCAGTTTTCAATTAAGGTGTACAGTACCGTACTCAAAATTGTGGATAAACTGTCCAAATTGTATCCATATTGTGTTATTGTTTTGTTCAAGTACTTTCGACCATCTCAGTCATTTTCAAGAACCAGTTTGTTGCCTGTGTGGTAGTTAGAATTCCTTTGTCTACATCCTAGTATTCTTTTGAAAGTTGTAAGTTTGAAATAGTTTATATGTAAAAGTTAGTAGGAATGAGGATGCACAAAATAGGATCCAATTATACCGTTCACCACAAGAAATAGTATCTTGAAATGCATATGATATATTTAACATGCACACACACATGCACACACACACATACACACACACACACACATATATATATATACATATAGGAAAGTGAAAGATATATATTAAAATTCAAAAATTCAAAATTCTTACATATATATATATATATATATATATATATTGTGGAGTTACCACATTTACTTTCCTAAAAAAATGCTGCTAGGGGACACTCCCTAATCCTATAAATAAGGAGTTACATTCTCTGTCATCCTTTTTTTCCTATTTCACCCAGGGACAGTAAGATGTAGGCGAAAACATGGCGAAAAGTGTGCACATGCGTGCATGCACATCAGCACCATTCCCTTCACTTTCTTCAATGTAGCACCTTTCTCTAAGACTTCTTCTACACATTTTATGCACACAAACAATTCACTAGTTTAAATATTTTCTTATTTCATGTTCATTGTTTGGTCACACACAACAATCTTTGATTGTCTATGTATACCTTTGTTTTGTTAATACATACTTATCATTTGTTTATTATAGTTTTGTTGTTACTTTGTCGATTATTACCTGGACTCACATTCCAAGTCCACCATTTTTGTTGTAGGATAAATATACCAGGAGACATGTGTTTTCAACCCAAACACAACGAGCACATACCTACAATATATATATATATATATATATATATATATATATATATATATATATATATATATATACATACATTTATATGATAGAAAATATAGTTTTAAGTTATGCTATATTTATGGGTTAAATTTCTCAATATCAGGGATAGAGTATACGTAAATATAAAAGTGGGCATTGAGGACAACAACTAGTAATGACAGTCTGCTTCTTTCTTAAGCATAATCTTCAGGCCATCTTTTACATATATAGCAGGAGATAAAAAGCTATCTCCTCTTGACCAGACAAAAATAACAAAAAAAATTAATTATAAATATTCATGAGAATTGAAATCAGTCATGTGATCTGATGAGACCCACACAAGATATCATTACACGGGAAAGTGAATCTTTCACTTTTACTCCATAAATTATCAAGACAAATGCATTTATGGCTCATGACTAAGCAAACAACTAAGCACAAACATTCATATTGTTTTTTGACATAGTCTTTTGAAAGTAGATATATGCTTTGTATTAAGAATTTCAAATATATATATACACAACTGTTTTTTATACAAAGACTTTTGTGTTTTACTTTTAAATATATTATATGTAAATATATATATATATATATATATATATATATATATATATATATATATATATATATATATATAGTCATCCACAGACAGACTGTTTCACTGTATCACAACTCCTCAGTTGTGGCTAGATATCCAATCACTTCAGGCCCTGACCAATTTGGTATCAGTCAGAGATTCTAACCCCTAGGTTATTGACACATGCAGAGAGAAAGACAAATTTTTGCATACTTATTTTTTTCATAAACACTGCAGTCACTTAGAGAACTCAATCACTAGGAGAGTCTTGCATATATATATATATATATATATATATATATATATATATATATATATATATATATATATATATATATATATATATATATATATATATATTATTTCTCCCAAGAATTTTATCTAGAATCATCTTCAGGGAAAGGAACCAGTGACAAATGTCTGCTTCACAATTTTCTTCTGTATGTTAAGTATCATCAGCTTTTTCATCCATTAATTTTCAATATTTTACATGTACCAATTGATTTCATTGAATTTTTAGTTTTTCAAGTAATTCCC